CCATCGTGAATAAACGTTCCCCAACTACGAGCACGTCTCGTATCGTTTCGCATCGTAAGAAGCCGCCCGATCAATCACAGAGCAAATCTGAAGCGATTTCGTGTAACGAGCGCTCGCGTATAAAGAATTTAATTGGAAACTCAATGTCGATTATGACACTCGAAGTCCTTTGCACGCGCGCGTTACCGTGACAAGAATTTAATTGTTGCCCAGAAACGGGAACAGCGTTTAAACACGTTGTTTCGCACGCTGTTGTTGTACGAGGCTTTTTAATTTATATCCACCCTCCACCACCCCCTTCTCCCGGCGCAAAGTATCAATCGACATAGAATCTACCATCGTGACAGAATCACATTTCCCATAAATTGCTTCTTCCGAAGTGGAGTGCCTGGAAATTCGTTTTTTAATCACCCTGTCATCGGCAAACGATAAATTGTCCTTGAGATCGTGAATAGAGTGATTCGAGTAGCAACCAATCATTGATCCACCGCGACACCTTGGCGAGACCTATAATTATTCTTCGATCGTGCTTCTTTTTGGCGGTTCGTGATTGTCTTCGAGGTTGGACTTATTGTACGGAATGAGGTTTCATCTTCTTGGGTTTTGTGATAAGGTTTTGAGTAAATGTTTTGGTTTTTGGTGAATTTGCAGTTTGGGGGTTGAAGAGAATAGGTTTATTCAATGTTCAATTTTCCCAGTTTTTCAATTTTCCAATTTGCCAAGCACCGAATTACCCAAACACCAAATTACCCAAGCACCTTATTCTCCAAGCACCCAATTTCTCAAGCACCCAATTTCCCAAGCACTCAATTTCTCAAACACCCAATTTCCCAAGCACTCAATTTTTCAAGCACTCAATTTCCCAAGCACCCAGTTTTCCAAGCACCCAATTTCCCAAGCACCCAATTTCCCAAGTACCCAATTTCTCAAACACCCAATTTCCCAAGCACCCAATTTTCCAAGCACTCAATTTCCCAAGCACCCAGTTTTCCAAGCACCCAGTTTTCCAAGCACCCAATTTCCCAAGCACCCAATCTCCCAAGCACCCAATTTCTCAAACACTCAATTTCACAAGCACCCAATTTTCCAAGCACCCAATTTCCCCAGCACCCAATTTTCCAAACACCCAATTTCTCAAGCACCCAAATTACCAAGCACCCAATTTATCAAGCACGCGGTTTCCTAATTTCTCAACCTTCCAATTTCCCAACCACCCAATTTTCAATTTTCCCAAATTCCCAGGATCCCCATTTCCTAATTTCCCAAATTCCCAGGGTCCGAATTTCCAATCTCCCAATTTCCCAAATTACTAAGATCATAATTTTCAATTTCCCAATTCCCCGGTTAGAAACCAAGAAACCCTTCCCTACATTGTTCCTCCAAAAAAGGCTACCATGCTACCTAACTACCACACCACCCATCACAACCTTACCCATTCTTACCCTACCTCCCCTCCTCAAATTCATACCATCCACCTCCAAAAGCACCCAAACATCGTCAACGACTATTAAACACTACCCATACTGAAATATCGACGGTGTTCAAAGGAACGCACATCTATGCGCTTTCACCGCAGAATTACATTTACCGGTCCACGGAACTGCAAAGTGTCGAACGGAGAACTCGTTCTTCGGACGGTTTCTCGTCAGCAACACCTGCAACCACCGTTGTTTGCATCGAAACTCATTTTCGTTAAATTGCCAGCAAGGTAGCCCTGGCCAGCGTTGCTCCGCGGAACGAGCTGCAACGTACCACCTGACGCCATGGCCTTCGCGAAACAAAACCTCTTTTCACAGCTAACCCCCCGCCATGGGGTCGCGGCAAGAATGTTTAATATCGGATTTCATAGGGGATGCAACGGCAAACCGGTAGGCGGTTTGTCAGAAGCGACAGAAAAGAAGCACGACGTGCGCCATGCCATGTAAAAGCCGATATCAAACGGGACGACAGCTTTGTTTTCTACCAAATGATCCTGCGGGGAATGTATGGAATACGGATCCTACCCTTTTACAAGTGGATCTCTCCCTTCTTGTTACGTAGCGAAGGTTTTGGTAGTCTTTTAAATAGGATTTTAATTCATTTTTTTTTAGAATTTTAATTTACCAGTAATTTGATATAGATATAGCTGTGCATGTAGATATACAGGGTGTCTCACAATTTGTGTAGATCAAATGGAGAGTAGCTGACGCGATTCTGAATAAGATGACCCTTTGCAAAAATGGGATTTGAAACTTCGTTTTTGAATTATTAAGGAAAAACACGGATCAGTCAGGTAATTCTAAGCGTAGGAATCTAATGCGTGGTAATCTAACGCGTAGTAATCCAGCATGTGGATATCCAACGCGTAGTAATCCAACGCGTGGATATTCTACGCGTAGTAGTCCAACGCGTAATAATGCAACGTGTGGTGATGCAACGCGTGGTAATCCTACGCGTAGTAATCAAATGCGTAGTAATTCTACGCGTACTAATACAGCGTGTAGATATCCAACGCGGAGTAATCTAGCGCGTGTATATTCTACGCGTAGTAATCCAACGCGTGGTAATTCTAAGCGTAGGAATCTAATGCGCGGTAATCTAACGCATAGTAATCGAGCATGTGGATATCCAACGCGTAGTAATCCAACGCGTGGATATTCGACGCGTAATAGTCCAACGCGTGGTAATCCAACGCGTAATAATGCAACGTGTGGTAATGCAACGCGTGGTAATCCTACGCGTAGTAATC